TTATTCTTCACATCATTACTATTTATCATCATACAAAAATGATATAAAATGAAAGAAAAATCATGAGTTTTCTATTTGTCTTACTTTATATTTTCTTGCTTCTAGAGGAGAAATAAACAATTTATAAACGTTATTATTCTCTGAGAAAAATGTAATATATTTAGGGCGGAAAAGTTGGCGGAAATATGTCACCCTTCTCATTTTTTAGGACATTAATTACGTATTGTAAATTAACCTTTCTTCTCTGATTATACTTAAGCAGTTTATATAATTTTCTGAGTATTAAGTTTTTAGTTTTATCTTCTATATTTTATTCATTAATTACATACTGTTTATTTTTATGTTATAAGTCAAAATAATACAAATTCGATAGAATTATGATTTCTTTTTAATTTAAAAACTTTATTTACATTAAATATTTTGTTATATTATTAATATTAAATCTGTTGTAGGTTCCTTTTGTGCCATTATTACCTGTTTTAAGTATTCTATGTAATGCATTTTTGATGACCAATTTACAACCTCTCACCTGGGTCAGATTATTAGTATGGGTGGCGATAGGTAAATAATCTGTGACTATTATTATTATTGTGACGTTTATTAATATTTAAACGTTGAAATAATTTTATTTTTTATGCAATTATATTCTTTCTTCAGGTTTAATTCTATATTTTTCTTATGGTATGAGGCATAGCAAACTTAACACGCTCATACCAACTTCAAATTCTTCTTTACTGCAACCTGGAACCAATATTACAGCGTATAGTGCTGGACAATCTACAGACTCTAGTTATGGAACACCCGCAACAAGTGCTCGACCCTCAATTGAAAAACTGGACGAAGAAATCAAGTCACATAATTAAAAGTCACAACTTCGAGTTTATAAACTTTGTGACAAATTTATACGATTTTATTCATCTGTAAGTCCATAATATTTTCTATACCTCAGTTGTAGATGTAAGTTATTTATCTATAAAAATCATTATCAAGAGTATAGTTTGTTAACCAGGAAGACATTTAATACTATCAATATATGCTATATATATATATATATA